GGGCCCGCCGGCGCTCAGCCCTGCGCCCCTCGGCTCCCCCCCGTGCCCGTCCCGTCCTCTTGCCTTTCCTTTGTGTGTTCTCGTCCCGCAAGCGACCCCTCCCAGGCCAAGCCCCTCCGGGCTACCGCTGCTTCTCTCCGCTCTGGGAGCGCCTTGGGAGCTCCCCGCGGCGCCCAAGCTCCCTTGCCGTTGCGCACCCCTAATTCTCTATGGCTCCGCCTTACCGCATCCTTTCTCTTGGTGCCTTTCTCTCTCCTCACCCACCTCTTCTCCCCTCGGGCCTCTGGTTTCTGCTCCTTCCCGCGGCCTCTTCTTTTTCCAGCTGTTCTCTGTTTTTGTCCCTGCTCTGTGCTGCGCTTTTTTTAGTTGGATCTTCATGGAGCTTTGAGTTTCTTATATTTTATTCTTTGCAAGGCCTCTGCTGGCCGTTCTTTTGGGCTGGAAGCTCTTCTGTCTTGATCTCTGCTTGATTCGTGAGCTTTTGCCACTCCCCAAAAGTTTTGGCCCTGCAGTCACCTGCCCCCTTCTATTTTTTCCTCTGGGCCTTTTAACGTTTTGGTTTTTTTGTCTTTGTGCATGATCTCCAGTTTCCTTTTTATGTACTTATTTCTAGCACAGCGATCTCTAAGATTTTCGGTGCTCTGTCTTCCATGAAGGTTGTTTCTTCCCAACTTTTTCAGTTCCACATCTCTTGTTTGTTGGTCTCTGCATACCTTTGTGTCTGGATTAGGTCAATCCCCAAAAATGAGGTGGTTAGGGTTTTTAAGGTTGCAGAGTTTTTTTTTTTTTTTTCCCCCTGGTTTTGAGAGTGAGGTAAACAAACCAGTGCAGATTTAGATGGCAGAGTTTAACAGTCTTGTGATAACTCTGAGACAGATGCACATAAAAGCACGGTGGAGGTGGTTGCCTCCTAAACTTTCAAACCTCTGAATACTGAGTTTTTTTAGGACTAAAAATTGTTAAGAAGTGATGGCTCCTGGGTGCTCACTCATGCTTAGTTGCATGCATGTGAGAAGGTGAATTAGATTTTTGTGGGCTAGCATTTGTTTTTCTAAGCTATTTTGTTTTGCTACAGAGTAATTAAGGATACTGTAACTTGTACTGTTACAGTGATTCTTAGTGCATGACAGATTAAGTGTTTTGTAATGACTAATCCTAAAAAAAAAAAAAATCCTCCTTAAGGTATTATTTCCTTGTGTGAAAGCTTCATACAGACTGTATCATTTTCTCAATGTAATTGCCTAGACGAGGGGAATGTACAGCTTGTAGTTGAGCTTGCAATATCACTGTATATTCATTGGTATATGTAAAAAGCAAGGCATTGTAGGTTATTCTCTGATAAGTACCCATCAGTCAACTTGAAAGATGACATATGATAATGAAGTTCTGATGAAGTTCTAGCACTGGCAGTAATCTTCAGCTTAACTTCCTTTGTTCTTGTACTCTGCTTTGTTTATTGCTTGTATTTTTGTGGGTGGGAGGGAGTGCGATCAAAATTCATTTGTTCAGGTTTTCAACACCATTTAAGCTTCACATGCTGTAGAAGAATAGATTACTTCAAAGGTTTTTGGTGGAATTCTTTCCATTTGAAAATTATTTTGCTGGGGTTTTGGTAATATGATATTTTATGTAATATAAGAATAGTTTATAATAGCATGTTTTAAACTGATATATGTTAAATATTTTAAACTGATATGTAAGTTAAAAAGAGTAGGATTGACAAATAAATGGAATTAACCCAAAGTAAATATTAGAGGATTCTAACTGAAGTTGTTTTGCCTTTTTTTTCCCCACTTTCCTATATGCAGAGACCTAAAGGACAAGGAAATAAAGGTAAGTTGATTCCTTGTATTTCTATCTAAATCTCTACTATTGCTGTTCATAGAGGTTAAAGTGTCTTCAGAGAGTCATGGGAAGAGAATGTAGCTATAGGGTGTCTCTTTTATTTCAGAGCAAGATGACAGGGAACTGTGTGCCAAAATGTTATTTCCCAGCATTTTTGCTGTGGCACAGTGGGACATCAACTTAAAATATTTTATTTTGCAAATGAGGATTAATATTATAAATTGGACAATAACATAGCTAATTCTCCTTCTTTAGCTGACTTTGTCATATGCTTCTATAATCTCTTTAACAGTACACCTTGGGCCTTTCTGTGCAGTGAGTAGAACCACTGTACTAGAATCATCAGGAAGGATCTTTTGAATGGCTTCCTTAGCTTGTGAGACAACAGCCACGTGACTCTTTAGTTACTCATATCTGTGAGCAGAACACATCACCTTCCTTATTCTCAGAAATATTGTGGGCTTTTCATTTTAGTGTCAGTATAGACTGTTCTCTCAGTGTTTGTAGGCCGCCTGCTTTTCTACTTTTTCCCATGTTTCTGTCAGCATCTTAGTTTTTAAAATATCATACTTGGTGAGGTTTCTTCTCTGCCAAAGAAACAAGACATTAGCTACTTAATATTCCTCTGTGTTAAATTCTTGGCAAGTCTGTCATAAACAGCATCTCAGATAACAAATTCCACAGCAGAAATATAAGATGTAATCTTTGATATAAAGACTAATATTCCTCTTGAGAATTATTTTTGCCTAACCAGTACACTTGTGCCTGTTTAATTCTGAGGTGTTCAGCAAGCTGAGCTGTAGAGTAATATGCACACAGATACCTTTGTGTGTTAATATGCTTATTATTTCTTTGTGCAGATAAGAAACTCTTTTTGAGCTCATGTACTCTTTGCCCCCCCGCTGTGCATTATCTGAACTAATCTAATTGTTCTCTGAACTGTCATTTAATGTTACCTGCAGCATACTTACTCTGTTATTCTATGTGCAGATCATCTGCTTATTACATATCTAACTTACTAAGTGGCACATGGTTCCTGAATCTTGCTCAATTTGGCATGTTCCCTTTAATATCTCAGCATTCAGGGAAAAATGAACTTGTGTTTACCTTCTCAGTTTGGTAATTCTTGAATACTTGTTCTCTCATATTCTAATACCTCCACCTTTTTTTTTTTTTCTCCAACTGGAGCTTTTAACTATTTCCTTGTCTTAAACTACTTTGTGTTTATACCTTCCATGTTGCCCTTGAGTGAGAAGAAAAGTCAGATTCGTTTTAGCAAGTAGTTTGCAGCCTCACATTCTTTGAATTACCATATCTCAGTTTTAGTGAGGTTATTGAAATGCATTTATTATGGTCCAAAAACTACTTGTATGATTCTGCACTCTGTATATATGAATTTGAGTGGAAGTATTAAGCATTTTTATTTGCGTGTTATGTTGCAGCTTGTTTAATAGTGAAAATGCACGTATCAGCTTTACTTACTTATGTTAGCATGTTCTTGTGTGCTGTAATTTGTCAGTACTGCAGAATGAATCAAAACACATCTGTTTGCTCTGTAAGGAAGAGATTCTTGCATTTCTGAACTTGGATTTTTATGGAGGGTATAATTTTAAATAATGGTTACTTACTATATGTTCTCTTGGTGAGAATGTGACCTCAATGAAAACTGTAGTGAAACAAAACAATAATCTCCTCCTCCATTCCAGTAAACGATTTGGTGTAAGGTCTATTTAATGAAGCTAAGTTATGATTTAGCATTAAATTAAAGGCCTAGGAGGCTGCAGGTGGTAGCACATTGTAGCATGAGTAGTTGGCTTTGGGATAGAGACTTTTTCAAGAGGATAAATTAAGTCAGTATCAGCAATCCTTACTGACCTTATGTTAGCAAACAGTAATCTTTTTCAGGTGTCAAGATAGGTCCCAGCTTAAAGGAGCTTTGAGGCAAGATGTGATAGTGAGTTAATCAGACTGATCTGAAGTTGATTCTGTGGATAAGAGTAATAATGTTAGAGAATGGTAAAAAGGCTACTGCCCACTGATCTGGTAGAGCATATGAGAGAATGTGAGTGAGCAGTAAAAGGGCTGTATGCATAGAAAGGGAGGGGTTTGGGGTTTTTTTTGATACTGAAGAAAATATCAGACCTCCAAATGATATTGGAAGGTAGCTGATTTGTATTGTCTAGTAAAATGCTTTTGATGCTTTATTCTAGTTGATTATAAGTTGGTGTACTGTGCTGTTTCCCTTGACCAGAATTTGTGGGATTGAAGGTCTACTGTGTGGAACAGTACTATCCATCTGTTCTGTCAGATACTAGTGTTGGCATTTCAGAGACTTGGATGAGTAAATTACCTTGCCTCGAAAGTTTTCTTACTCTAATTGCCAGCTACTGTACAGTTGACATAAAACATCAGAACTGACACCAGCAAGTGATGTTTTACCCGGGATGGGGGGGTTGTGAGAAACCAGCATTCCTGAAACTCCTCCCTGCCCCCCCACTTTTGTTTGTTGTGCCAGGGTATCGCACCTGTGATAGGAAAGTGCTGACTTGTGTTTACATATGTATGTATATGTTTTGGGGGTTTGTAGAATGTTTAAATGTAAGCATTAGGTTTAAAACAAGAACAAAATGTTTCTTCCAGGATTTACTCTTCCATATTATTCAAGGTGTTAACTGCTTCTAATTAAAAATTTATTCTTATGCCTTTGGCCATCATTTGTGTATTTTGCAAGTGGTTATTCCACGGATAGTAGCAGTTAAGAATATATGCTTTAAGTTCCTTTATTTAATGAGTTGTTTCTTCCCAATATCTAATTACATTGTATGTTTTCACAGTGTTTGCGGAAGTATATGGTGTTTTCAGAGTTGGAGTGATACAGATATTTTTAGTAACTGTAGATTAGTTTCAGTCAGTATTCTGCATCACTGCCCTGTTTACTTGGAAAACAATGTGAGATTTTTGGGGAATGTGGCACATGTATTAATCTGTTTGCTCTTGTTAAGTCTGTGTGGGGGCTACAGTCTTCATTATTAACACATTCTGTAAAGTTAGAACAAAAAGATGAAGAAACATACTTGTAGTGATGGTATTTCACTGAGAAATGTGTATATTTTTACTAGGAAAGATGTTGGTGTAGAACTGTTTTGTGTTACTGACTTAAGATCTCAGTACAGAATGAATAAAAAAGAAAATAAATTTACAAAGACTATTCTATGTTAGTTATAATGGCAGACCAAAGCTAATTCCGTCTTAAGTGACCTTTAGATACCTCTGAAACAATAAACGCAGCAGATGCACGTTTTATGAAGATTAGCTGTCAGTATGAGGAGATTAATTTTGATAGGATTCGAGTCTTGACATGCAGCTGTTTATTCCTTTATTTGTGTTTGGATGCTTTTAAGAAACTTGTATGCCTCCATCTATGTTTTTCATTATAACAGAATTGTGTTTGAGAATTGTGCTCTCCATACTATTTGGTTAAGTCTAAGCAATGGACATGGCATGGACAAAAGATTTTGAGGCTCCTCCCCTGTGTGACTGGGCCAAATATAAAGAGGAATATAGTGTTCCAGCTCATTAGTATGTTACTATTGTGTGTAAATTCAGTGATTAACGACTTTAACTGAGACCCTTTATGTATAGGGGAAAAAACCCCACCCAAAACACCCATAAACTCTAACACCTAGTTGGACTTTCGATTTTGTATTTTATCGGGAATATTATTCTATCTGAGTTTTAAAACCCATCATGCTCACTGTTGCTGGTCAGATTTGGCTGTAGCTAGTATGCAAGTGCATTGTGACAGTTTGTAATAACTTAAGTGTCAACATAACTTAAGTTCTGACTTTCAAAACTCCAGAAAGATACTAAAAATGGGAGTTGCTTTCTTTCCAGATATTTGCTTTGAAAAAAAACTTCTGTGGTTCTGTGTTTTAAATTATGAATTTTTAGCTCTTTTTACTGCTGTTTTTCCAGAATTTTGGTTACTTCTTGTAATTACATATATTTCTTTGTAACTTTTTAAGCTGTATTAATTCCCTGAAGGCAGTTTGTTTTAGAGGTGTTAAAAGTCAAATGAAAAAATGTCCAAAAAAAATTGAAGTGACTTGGTCCAAGCACCTCTTGGTTGCAGTGTAAACTTGGGGTTGCAAAAATCCCCATTCTTAAACACCAACTCTAACAAAGTTGAAGGTTGAGCTACCTGGTTGTATGTATTTTTTAGAAGTTTTTGCTAAAAGAGAGAAACTGTGGAGTCAGCTCCTAACTTGGTGTCTCCAGCTGTCAAAAATCTGCTGTTTTGTCATAACTTCTGTTGTCATGGTTTCTTCGTGCACCTCACTTATCACTCTAAAACTTACTTGGTTTTCTTTTTCACTGAACCTATTTGATAAATAACAAATTGCACTTGAAACAGCAGCAATTTATTTTTGAGAAGAGGTCTTCATCTTCAAGTTGTATAATGGCAAATTGCTGGTTTAAGTCCATGTTCTGCTTTGCACCATGAGAAACAGTGGAACTTGGTAGAAATTTGTGCAATTCCACTTTGTTTGAATAGTAGCCTGGGGGAGGGTGGAGAGACACATCAAGTAATTTGGACAGCTGGAATATTCCAGGTAGGTGTAATGCCTTAGATGAAATGAAAGGCAATAGGAGGCCAAGAAGAGCAGGTAGGAAGAGATTCCAGCGTACAGCGGCATATATATTGGGAAAGGATTGTAATCACCCTTGGGAACTTCAGCCCTTGTGTCTGTCTTGCTTTGTACCCTCTGAGCTTCAGAGATGCTCACTAATGCAGTGCAGTATAATATTTATGTAGGAAATACAGAATTAAATAGCAGAATAGGGGCGCCCTTTGTAGTTGTCTTGGTGGGTAACTGGCTTTCCTCCTGGCAGGAGAAAGCTGTATGTTGCAACTTTCCCTGAACCTATTGAATATGTCTGATCTCGTTGGTCTGCACATTTGCATTTGGTCTGGTACTTCTGGAAACTCTGGATTTACTACCTGTGCAAATCAGATGTGCCTGTAGTTTTTCCTCTGACTCTGGAGCTCAGGAGACACTAGTCAGGAATACTGCTCTGGTTGCCATCTTCCCAGACCTCTCCTGAGATCCCATCAGGATCATCAACAGAATGAGCTATTTTCTTTAAATTTAACAAAATGGTGCTTAATATGTTCAGTCTCAACAAAGCACAAGTAGAAGTATTTTGATATACTGATGATTAAGAAGTGTTATCTAGGTTAAAAGTGCATGATAGATCTTCCAGAGAATATACCTAATACAGATTTACTTCTAGTTTCAGTACAAAACGGTTCGATTCATCAAAAGGATGCAGTAAATGATGATGATTTTGAGCCATATCTAAGTAGTCAGACAAATCAGGTAAGTGAACATTGTTTACTATCTTGAAGTTAATTTTGGAGTTCAGTGGACTTCCAGACTTAATTAATTTTTGGGTGATATTTCTTAGCATTACTTTCTTGCTGGAATATCCATAGAGATATAATTCTCATATCTTGTCTTACCATACGATATACTACACAGGTAAAGTCATCTTAATAGTTCTGGAAAAGATTCAGTTAAAAAGCATGCTCTGATGCCTCCTGCTCTTGTTCTCTGACTTCAGAAAGATGTAGTTACAGGAAGCTTGAGGGGAAAAAAAAAAGGAGCCCCAAAACCAGAACATGAACACCAAAACAAAACCCCAAGCCTTTAAATGTGCAGTGAAATTGTATATTGGATGCAGTTCAAACCAGCAGTTCATTGGCTCTGAGAAAGTATTATCTGCTTGGACATGGTTTCCTTTGAAGTGGACAGAAGTAGCTCACAGTTGATGGCATGATAGATTGAAGCTTAATATTACTACAACTTGGTACAACTCTTCACAGCTTTGAAAATAAGTCATGAACTTCTCAGCTGAATTGTAGTCAAAAGTTAATATTCATTAAGTTTGTAAGTTGTAGTGGTCTTGAGAGAGGAGAAAGTGCAAATTATTAAAAACCTTTGAGAATTTTATTTACCTTCCCCCTTTTATTTTTTTTTCTCCAAAACAGCATCAGAAGTCGTATGGGGGTAGCCTTTCAAATGTCTTGTAGCTTTAACTTCTCAAGAAGTAAATGCAGTAATTTCCCAGGAGTCTTGGGAGTGGCATCTGAACTTAGGTAGCAAAGTTTGCTCTACTAGACCACAGATTGTACTTAATGCCCATCTATTCTCAATAGTGTGGAAGCATTACAGTTTGATTGTTGTTCCTCCTGAAACAAACAGGCATCCTTGCATCCTTTTAGCTATAATATTCTCTCAGGTGCTTCCAATTAGAAGTGAGAAATTTGACAAAAAACTAAGAATACCAAAACTTTAAATTATGGTTGGGGCTATTCTTCTGTATTTATGAAACCACAGTTGTTATGACTTGTTTTTTAAAGTAGCTTGCAATTTTCTCGATACTGTTGACATGGAGGCATTTTTAGCTTAGCTCAGTAACTGGTAATAAAGATATTAAAAAAAAAAAAAAAGTGGGGCTCTCAAGAGCTTTGGAAAGGTCTCTTGAGGAAAAAAATAGCCATATCTAACAGATGCTTTGTTCATCTTTTACATTGGGAGGAAGGGTGGAAGTTAGAAATGCATTCATATAATGATTAAATATGTTTTGGACTGTATTACAGGTTTGAGTGGGGTTTTTTTGTTTGGGTTTTTTCACACACCCCCCGAAGCATAATTGTCTATATTACTGATTTTTGTTTAATTCTCTTGCAGAGTAACAGCTATCCACCAATGTCAGACCCATACATGCCTAGTTATTATGCTCCATCCATTGGATTTCCATACTCTTTAGGCGAAGCAGCATGGTCAACTGCAGGCGACCCTCCAATGCCATACTTGACAACCTATGGACAGATGAGTAATGGTGAACACCATTACATACCAGATGGTGTATTTAGTCAACCTGGGGCATTAGGAAATACCCCTCCATTTCTTGGGCAGCATGGATTTAATTTTTTTCCTGGGAATGCAGACTTCTCTACATGGGGGACAAGTGGATCTCAGGGACAATCAACGCAAAGCTCTGCTTACAGCAGCAGCTATGGCTATCCACCTAGTTCTCTTGGGAGAGCCATAGCAGACGGACAGGCTGGATTTGGCAGTGACACTCTGAGCAAGGTGCCTGGGATTAGCAGCATTGAGCAAGGCATGACTGGACTGAAAATCGGTGGAGATATGACGGCTGCTGTAACCAAAACTGTAGGTTCAGCTCTGAGCAGTACAGGTATGACAAGCATTGCAGCAAACAGCGTGCCCCCAGTTAGCAGTTCAGCGCCTAAACCAACCTCTTGGGCCGCCATCGCAAGGAAGCCTGCTAAACCTCAGCCGAAACTCAAGCCTAAAGGTAACGTGGGCATTGGGGGTCCTGCTGTACCACCGCCACCTATAAAACACAACATGAATATTGGAACTTGGGATGACAAAGGGTCAGTGGTAAAAGCACCCCCAGCCCAAACAGTACTGCCTCCTCAGACTATAATCCAGCAGCCTCAGCCATTAATTCAACCACCGCCACTGGTGCAAAGCCAACTGCCTCAACAGCAGCCTCAGCCACAGCAACCGCAACAGCAACAAGGACCTCAGCAGCAGGCCCAGCCTCACCAGTTGCAGCAGCAACAGCTGCAAAACCGCTGGGTAGCTCCTCGTAATAGGGGTGTGGGCTTCAGCCAGAACAACGGAGCTGGTAGTGAGAACTTTGGTTTAGGTGTTGTATCTGTCAGCTCCTCACCTTCTGGTGTGGAAGTGCACCCAGTGCTGGAGAAACTAAAGGCCATAAACAACTACAATCCCAAAGACTTTGATTGGAATCTGAAGAATGGACGTGTGTTTATAATCAAAAGTTATTCAGAGGACGATATTCATCGCTCCATTAAGTACTCTATCTGGTGTAGTACTGAACATGGTAATAAGCGCTTGGATGCTGCTTACCGTTCCCTGAATGGAAAAGGCCCACTCTATTTACTCTTCAGTGTGAATGGCAGTGGACACTTTTGTGGAGTGGCTGAGATGAAGTCTGTTGTGGACTACAATGCGTATGCTGGTGTCTGGTCTCAGGATAAGTGGAAGGGAAAGTTTGATGTCAAATGGATCTTTGTCAAAGACGTTCCCAATAACCAACTGCGGCATATTCGCTTGGAAAACAATGACAACAAACCAGTTACCAATTCGAGGGACACTCAAGAGGTACCCCTAGAAAAAGCCAAGCAAGTGCTTAAAATAATTGCTACTTTCAAGCATACCACCTCAATCTTTGATGACTTTGCACATTATGAGAAGCGTCAAGAGGAGGAGGAAGCCATGCGTAGGGTAAGAAATCAATGTCATTATGTAGTAGCTCTCCTATTTTTTTTTTTTGGTTGTGGAAACCTTGGTTTTGGTACAACTTAAATTTCTGTGTGTGAGGGTTGATTCAGAAAGTGGTGCTTTTTACCCAAGGTATCTGTGCTTGATATAACTGGCTCTTAATGAAAAGATTTAAGTTCTTGTAACTTGTTTTGTTAACACAGGCATGTGTTTAACCACAGTACTAACGTAGGCTTGCATAAGTGGATTTCTGACATGTTTTACTCTTCCAAGTAAACAAAAACTTAATTGGGTGTATAACCCATAACTGAAGTCGCCTGCTTTAGATTCTTACGGTTTCTGGATGTCCCAGAAAAAAACTGAAATAACAGGAGAAGCTTACTTTATTTAACATAACATTTCAATTCAAATTCTGCTTTAACAAAATGTTAACAGCATGATTACTGTGAAAAGTGGGTTTTCCCCTTGATTCAGTTTCTTTTATACAATTGTAAAACACAGAAGTGATACAGTGATGACTTGTACAGTGTCGAAATTTTTTCTGATGTTTCTGAGAGTGCATTTCCCAAGAAAAGTAGTGTGTAGTTCGTTTCTGTGAAGAAAAATATACCTATAATAAATCTATAGAGAAACCTTTAGTTTTGGTGGTATTTCAGAAAACTTGACAAGGCGAAGAGGCATTTAATTTAAGCTGTTTTATAGTACCTGTCTACTTTGTCTTGTGAATGTACTCTTCCTACTAATAACGCTTGTGTTCGCTGTTGGCCACAATATTTACTTTTGCCATATTTATCTTCTTTACAGGCTTGCTAGTAACTGTAAATATGATTGGTCTCGTGGTTAGAAACATTTCAGGGCCTGTTGTACCAGTTGGATGATGTGCAGGTGTTCAGAAATGGGAGTTTTCATCAGTGCAGTTTGGTGGTGGCGTTTTCCATCCTGTCACACCACCTACTAAATAAAAACCCCAAAAGTCTAGGGTTTATGCTAATTAGGGGCCTTGTGGGACGTGAAATCCTGAATTTGCTCACTTGAAACTGCCACGGTTGTGGCTGCGTAAGAATTTCACCTGCCTCACAGCCTCCTTCCTTAGGTTTCTAGTACTGCAGTGATTCCACCCTTGTATATTCCTAATCCTTAACACGTGTTAAGGCATGTCCTGTAGACCAGTGCTGTGCATACCCCAAATCAATTTTGTACTTTTATTGCACAGCTCTGCAAGAAATTGTCACGTTGGAAGTTTTTTATTGTTTGGAGGCAAGATGAATGGCCCAGTTGGGCGTGTAATGCCTTCTGAGTATTTTGTTTTTCTAAAAAGAAAACTGAATATGCCCTAAACCAGTATTGTTACTTTCATGCCATCTTGGTGATGGGAGGACAGGCCACATTCTTACGTAACAGTCAATGTAAGGGGGAAAACTTGGACTTTTTCAGGCTTTCATCCATCTTCATTGTGATTTTGGTAACATTTCAAGCAGACCAAGATCATCGTGTTTCTCTGTAGCCTTCGTGTTACAGCATTTTCTTAATTTTTGATGTTTTAAGACCCTTTACAAATAACTGGTTCTGCTTCAAAAATAACTTCTTTTTTGAAAAAAAAACACAGTAAAGGAGTCATAATTCAGACGTGCACTAGCAACTCAGGAAGGCAATGTGTTTTATTTGTGGTTTTGTTCCCCCCGTAGAAGATGAAAGCGACAAAATATAATGGGGGACAGGCCGGGACACATACGTTATTGTCTCTGTGTATGCTAAAATTAAAATTCAAAGTACTAAATTCAGCGTTTAGTAGGTCTGTAACTGGGTGACTGTGATTATGTGTATGTGTTTAATAAAGTAACAGTGCTGTTTCTTTTAATCTTCAGGAAACATACAGATACTGTATGATTCATGTACTGAGCTCTGCATTTCTCTGTTACAGTTACCTTTCCCAACACCATTGAGAGAAAAACATACTTGCACAGTAGGCATTGATTCTTCTACAGCATCGTACAAATTGGTTTTGTGACTAATTACAAAAAATTACTTTAGAGCTGCATATTTAGTTGTGAGGTTTGCTCTTGGTGGATGGGTTTGAGATGCGCCTTACACGAACGAATGTGTACTTAAAATGTAGGAATTCCGAATTATCTTTCAGTAGCTGTCATGAATTTATCATTCTTTTAAGTATTGATTTTAAACCTCTAGGTTTCTTCTTTTATCATCCAGTATACAACCAGCCTGCCTTTAAATTGTAAACATACAGTTGTTAACTCCTTTATGATTCAAGAATAGTTTGGAAATGCAACAATTAGTATTGTAAGCTTTGGTTTATGGTTAATTGAGTAATCTGTTACCACCTAGTGCCAGCTAAGTTTTTATGTAGCTGTATTTAAATTGCTACACTTTCTACTACCAGTAGAACTGTGTAAATTAAATTCATGCCCATTTTCTGTGGCAGCTGGTGTGATCGCTTTGTTTCCTGTGTTTTTGTCATGAAAAATGTGCTTATTGCTGTTAATAAAATTAAGCACCTCAAGCAGCAGTAGTAATTTACATGTTCCTTAAAGTTCAGTTAACGTTTTGTTGTTGCATAGGTGGTAACAAACTTTCATACAGCCAGTGTTCTAAACACAGTAAACAGCATATGATTTATGGATTTAATTTACTTTAAAACTGTTCATCATTCCAGCTAACTTATTTTAAAATAATTGGTTGTAAAAATTTAATCTTAACAACTCAGGAGGATCAATAATTAATTTTCAATATGACCTAGAAGTATGTTTTATTAAAATATGGCAGCATACTTACAAAAGTGCAACGAATAGTCTGTGACTAACATGAAACTTCAGTAACTTTGCAGTTCGATAAAGGTTACTAGCAAATGACTCTGAATAGTCTCTTTAAGCATAAATATTAAACTCTAGTGTCTACCACTGTTTGATGTGACCCCAGAGCAGGTGAGGTATCTGCAGCTGGGGTTCGAAACAAATGTGTGCTGTAATGATTCACCCTTTCCTTATGGCTCAGGTTCCAGTGTCCTATTTTAAACATACAACTGCTGTGATTTTTCACCAAAGGAGCAAAGAAATCAGTGATGTTTTTCATGAGGTCTGTCAGTGGTATATTCAAATAATCCGAAATGGCATTAGTCCTTAGTTTGAACCTAGTGGTTTGTGGTGTAAATGTGTGCAGATTATTTAAAAACATGTTTAATTGTCTGTCAGCAGAAATGAGTAGCAGTAAGATCTGAAAAAATGGAACATAAGCCATTCAAATATGCCATTTAAGAGCATGTAATTACATTAGGAAAATAAGAGGTATTGAAAAGAAAAAAAAAATTCTGTATTAGTAGTTATGTCCCTGATCTTAAGTAAATACATGGTTCAAAATGAAATGTGACTGATTAAAAATGCAGTTGTTGGAAGATGACAGCTTCCTCAGCCTGAGATGGTGACTTATTAACCTGCAATTACCTGTTGTCCTAGGACTTCTTATGGTGCTTTTTAGTGCAGAATTCTGCTTTTGTAGCCTATAATGGAAAAAAGAAAAAGCTCATGGTTCCACATTTAGCTGTAGAATGCTTTAGATGATTTTCTTAGTGAGAAAATTCAGAAAAATAATTAATTTTGATTCATGGGAGAAGATAGAGTTCAGTATGTATTTGTGTTTAATTTGCATTTGGAATTGTTACTTTTCAGGAAGCCTTTAAATGTCAAGTAAACAAGCATTCAAAATGTTAGGTTTCTCCTGTTGTACTACCTGTCTTGCAAAGGAATGCTGATATAGCTAAAACTTTCTGACTCTGAAAAGGAGTAATTCCATTTTCCCCCCCTCATTCTGATACTAATGTAACTTCTGTTTCTCTGATGACTGGGTCATAATCAGGCTGCAGTGTTAAGCAGTGTAACTCCTTTCCAGTCCAGGACATTGCTGACTTTATGATTCTCTTAAAAAATACCTTAAAGGAAGGAGGGAAGTGAGAAAACATCCATTAAGAGTGAACTGTAGACACTTCCTCTTCACCTTCCCCCCAGCCAATCAATTACTACGTTATAGTGTCACAGTCGGATACAGATACGTCCACAGTCCTTGCACAAGTCAAGGAAAAGAAGTAGTTGACCAACATTTTTAACGTAGATAAATGATGGTTGTACCAGACAACTACTTAAAGTTTGTGTATTTACATCTTAAAGAGGTTCAAAGCACTAAATTAAATGGGCGATGTAATACCTTCTGAGAAACCTGTGCAATTCCTGTGTGCTTTTGATGATGTTTCAAGGACCATTACTTTGCAATTTCCTTGAATTTGATGTTTATCTACAGTTTCATCTTCATAAATGAAAGTGATGTTGCAGGTTTCATGTCTGTCTTAAGTAAAAATAATATGGTCAGAAGGTAGAAACAGAAGATGCATTTATGCTCCTTTGATGATTGTGAGATCAATATGTACCCCTGGTCTTGGGAGAAAAGGATTATTTGGAGCTAGAATAATTTTAGACATACTGATCCAGAATTTTCATCCCATGATGGTGTGCTTATTTACCATGTCTTCATTTGGTTTTATATATTTAGTCTTTTGGATGCACTTAAAAATTACCTTCAAGTTGTGTTACGGATTTCTGATGTGCCCGTTTTCTGTATGTTTGGGTGTTTGGTAGTCTGTTGTTCCAGTTCACAGATAGTGTTTAGGGTTTATTACGGTTTGAGGATAGTATGGAGAGATCTGGATGTTAAGGTACAGTATCATATAGAGTGAGTGAGTAAGAGTTTTGGGTAGTGGTGTGGCCTGCCTGTCTCTAGCAATGGAAAAGATGCTGCAGCAGGGAGAGTGCAAAATTGGATTGTTGAATAAAAGAGACAAAATGTAATTAAACTCACAGGAGCTCTTAGTTTATAGTGGCACTTATATGGATGGATCTTGGCGTGTTTTGCTTTTTGGTTTGAAATTCCTACCTGCAAAATCAAGCCTTACGGAGTCCTTGTTAGGAGTGGATGTGAATTAACCTGGCTGGGACTTGAAA